CATCACGTAAGAACTAAATGTTGAAATTCTTGTAATTTCATTCGCAAAAATTTACTTTTTCGTCCAAAATTTATTGCTTATTTTCGTGCTTTTATTTGCAAAAAATGCTGTTAGCCTTGCCGATAATTGGTGGATGTTGACGTAGAATGAGTGGTACTTGCTAGAAAGAAAATAGCGCTTGGAGGGCCACTACAGGTGGCGCAGGTGTATTAAACAGGCGGCGAGTACCAATTAGAGGAGGTATAGGGCCTATCATCGAAAGGCCCAGTTGCGCTCTGCGTGTGGGAACATTCCAGTAACTTCACTAATATAGGTATACCCATAGTGCTGCCAGGAGGAACTGATGTTTTTGATATATATGCGTATCTTTATTCACAAAAAATAAGCTTTGTCAGTAATATTAGGCTTATAGCTACTCATGCTGATGTCTTCACTTCATGGTTCTATGGCGCTGACCAGCGTGACTTCAAAGTGAACCAATCTCATTTTGAAACTTAAGCAATGCTTGGACGAAAGCACCATGCATGGTTCTGCTAATGAGAAATCCTAGCTGCAGATTTTTTATCTAAAATGAAAATAGGAGTCGTTTGCTGAGAATATTCTACCTTAGATGTTGTTTTGCAGATTATTCGCTGTAATTGCAACCACATGTGTAACAGCATCATCACTGGCTAAAACCCCCTCTCATTTTTCATCAACAACAATCATGTATAATAACGTTACTTGTAAAATTCAGGTAACAACCAACATTTTCAAAGCATTCTTGCCGGTTATTTATTTTTTTTCACAAATATCTAGAAGAAATGTTGTCTGTTGATGCTAATGGGTATGGCGCAACGGAGAGTAGCACAGTTTTCATGCGGTAGGACCAAGATTCGATTCTTCCAGCAAGGCAACCAATCCCTCTACGATTCGTTCATCCGTTTCGATGGCGAAGTGGTACTGGCATAGGTTGATACTCCTATTGCTTGCTTCTTATCAGCTTTCACAGTAACCGTCGACAACCTTTCCATCGGTTGTTTTACTACTAGAACATTGTAATACTCTTATGACTTCCGCTCTATCAGCCTTTTAGAGTTCTTGAATAATGGAAAAGCACTATAACTGATTTTTACCTGCAAACACATTTTTTCGTATGAATTCTAACTCATTTATGTACTATTGCTGCATCTTTGGATAATTCAAAATTTTCGCCGTCTTCAGGAATACTGGTGTATAAGCTGAAATGATGAGAAATAGCAGAATAAGAGAAAAGAGACTGGTTTAAGTGTCATATAAATGAGGATATGTTTCATCCCTTAGCTATAAACACAGATCGAACGGCTTGAAACAGAAATTACTGGTATAGCCTCCTACCCGCCATGTACTGAACAGTCATGTGACTAATTTGCAAAAGGATGTGCGAAAGAAAGAGAAAACAGGGAAAGAACAGAGAGAACGGGAGAAGAGAGAAGAAAAAGGAAGCTAACTCATGACACGAAAAATTATGCCTGTCAATTATGAGCCAGCATTTTTATGAGAATAGTGTGATGACCAGGCTTTTAATTCCTGAATCATCAAGAAAAATGAATTTGCTAAGTATGGTTCGGTTCCTGAAGTAAAATCTGAGGGCGAGGCGTTCCATTTCGGCAATATTGAACTCTCTATAAGTTCTTAATAGTAGTCTAGCAAATCCTGGAATACCTTTGGTAGTGTGCATAAT